TAGAACAAAAATTTTTGGACTGTGTATTAAGGATTTCTTAGCCCTATAAATCTGCATTCACAGCTAAAAATCGAAATGATCCTCATTGGAATCCCTCGATAAGGCCTTTGTTCAGCAGGAAACGTATTTTGATGCAAAAAGAAGCCATTCGAATAAGAAACTATTCCCCCACATCTCGTTCCCGCTGCAACTCTTGTGTGGCTACAGGATCTACGACGCTAGCTTGACTGGCAATATTTTTTTTGTTTCTTGTAATTACTTTTAATTGTGTTAAAAATCACTAAACTTTTTTTTTAAAGTCAACCAGTTTCAAGTTTGTCCCGGGAGAAAGATAAACTGTTATTAGACTCACAACGAAATTAATCTGAAGAACATAGGAGGGGTTCGAAGTTAGGGCTCGACATCTCTCCAGTGTAAAGTAGATGAGAGTGGCAAAAACAAAGGTTTAATAAACTTGATTATTGACTGTGTCAGTTATCCAATTTATTGTATTACAATTTTGTGACGTTGTAATAATGTTTATTTATTCTGGATGCAGGCCGCCACCAACTGGCGATTGTGGAAATCATTGGGGGAGGCCTATGTTCAGCAGTGGACGTCCTGTGGCTGAAATGATGATGATGATGATGATGATGAATTAATACCTTTGTTTATTCATCCATTGTCCACTCTTCCAGCGGAGCCGCCCCCAGACCCGGCGACGGCGCCGATCGCGGCCAACCAGGACACGGTCATCGAGCTAAGCACCGCCAGCGAACCGCTCGGCATCGTGCTGTTAGGAGGCAGCGACACGCTTATCAACGTACGTAGGGCTTAGAGAATGAGGGCTATCGTTTTTATACTTAACAGTTGGCACCCCTGGCGATTGACAGGACCTTACTCTACAGTGGCGCTAACTGGTGAGCGCTAAAACGATAGCCCTCATTGATTGAGGGAGTGTCTTTTACCGACGAGAAGTCTTTTAGAAAAGAAGTCTTTTGGCAAAGTACAGGAAACTTTTCAAAATGTAATTAGAATAAAATCGACTATTGTTAGTTTGAAAAAGTTAAGGAGTTCTTTCAAAATGTAATTAGATTTTAAGGACCCTTTTTAAAATGTAATAAAAACAAATTTAAAAAGCTTTTACAAAATGTTATTTGATGAAAATTGAGGCTTCTTTCAAACTGTTAAAAAGAACAAAACAAAGGAGATTTTTCAAAATGTAATTAGAACTAAATTCAGGAGTATACAAGTAAAGAACGAATTTGAGGAGTCTTTTCTGAATGATAAAAAGAACAAAATTGAGAAGACTTTAAAAAGAAACGGACCTATTCTCAAGTCAATAATTAAAAAATATCAGAGGGCTTAGTGTGAGTACATGAATACACAAAAATACATGAAATTTTAGTTCTTGCAAGTTTCCACAACGGGCGCTGTACAATCCTTCATACATTTAATATCATTTTATTTACGTGCTCACTAGTGACGAGTTTTGATGTAAACTCACACTACGCCCCCAGAGTGGTACCATTATATTAGCATTAAAACAAGGTAACATAATACAATGAGGGCTATCGTTTTAGCGCTCACCAGTTAGCGCCACTGTAGAGTAAGGTCCTGTCACTTGCTAGTAGCGAAGACAGTGGCACCAACTGGTGAGCGCTAAAGTGGTACGAGGACTATCGCATTTGCACTCGTCAAGATGGCGCCACTGTAGAGTAAGGTCCTGTCAATCGCCAGGGGTGCCAACTGTTAAGTATAAAAACGATAGCCCTCATTATGACCTTTGTCTCCAGGAATCAGCAGCGATAATACTGTACTTATTACATTTTAAAAAGACTATTCAACTATCGTCCTTATCTCCAGGGAGCAGCAGCGATAATCCTGGACGTATACAAGAACGGTGCAGTGGCCAAGGACGGCCGGCTACGGGTGGGCGACCAGATACGCGACTGCAACGGCGTTACCATCACCAAAGACATGGCGCATGAGCGGCTGTGTCTAACCATCAAGCAGAAGGTGCCCAAGGTATGTGTAGGAAATTTTAGAGAATAATTAAATAAATACATGGAATTAAAGACTAACAAAGAGTATCCTGACCTGGTAACTCGTGTATAAAACAAAGCAACTGAACTGGGGCCGCCAAACTATTTTTTCTGCATAACCCGAAGGTAAACTGGATGAAAATGCCTTATGGCATTAAGTTCGCCTAATGTTAAATTTTTGGCATTAAAGTATGTATAAATAATTAAAATAAATAAGTACAATTATTATTAATAATTAAAATATCTTCTTTAAAAGAAATCAGCGGGGTTTTTATTGCGGACGGCCTATTATTTTCCACTGGTTTACTTAATTACTTATTTAAAAGATTTCGAGACAGAGGACATAATGACACTGTTAAAGTAAATCATGTACGTCAAAACAATTACCCTAATTATGATCCGGCAGCTGGAGGTAAGATACTTAGCCAGTTCTTCTGTGATTCAGGATTCCGGATGAAGCTCGATTCCACCTTCGGCCTGATCATCACTTTCCATCTGTAGGTCAATAGTTTCTCCGTTGTGGATAGAAAAATTCTTGCTATTACAAAAATAGCAGTGGCAAGAACGAGAGTTGGGAATCTTGTAAAGCTCTAAAACAAATCGAACATCTAATAAAATAATGTTTGTCTTGTTCCAGATGAAGATGACCATCTATAGACCAGAGCCACTCCAATATACTGAAGTGGAAGTAGAGTTGTCTCGGAAACCAGGCCGCGCGCTTGGACTTACATACGTCGCGCCTGTACAAGGCACTGGGGTCTACTTGGGAGATGCTGTGAGTATTCAAAATCGAAATCAAAAATATTTTATTCAATTTAGACCACAAGTGGCACTTATGAACGTCAAAATATCTTATCTTACTTCTTACTAATATTATAAAGGCGAAAGTTTGGATGTCTGGATGTCATGATGTCTGCATGTCTGGATGTCTGGATGTTTTTTACTCTTTCACGCAAAAACTACTGAACGGATTTTGTTGAAACTTTACAGTATTATTGTTTATAACCCAGATTAACATATAGGCTATAACTTATGACGATATGTGACAAATAAATTTCAATAAATAAATAAGACGAGCCTAAAAAGCGCCATCTATCATCATTGGTTAAAATCTATAGCGCTGGACAAACTACTGTTTTGACGTTCGTACATATTCATTCGGGGGAATCCGTGAAACGCCGTCTATCAACATGATATCTAACGGTTGTAAAACGAGGTCCACGCGAACGAAGTCGCGGGCGGCCGCTAGTAGTAAATAAAAAAAGGTAGCCCTTATGGGGCACTTTACATGACTTCTTATCTTTTGGGCCCTACCAGCGCTTATTTGTAGCACTGACATTTGATGGATCTGAGACGTGGTCGCTTACTATGAGCCTCATAAGAAAGCTCAAAGTCACATGCTCGGAGTTTCCCTACGTAGGAAAACCAAAGTGACCGATCTATCTAGCTATCTATAGCAGCCTTTGGGTTCGCCTTCGAACATAGGCCTCCTCTTCAACCCTCCACCGACTTCTGTCCCTGGCCACAAGCATCCAGTTCACTCCAGCTTGTATATCGTCTGTCCACCGTTTAGGCGGTCTGACCGAAAGTGACCGATTCAGCTCGCAGAATTGCTAAAATTAAGTAGCAGTGGGTAGAGCACATAGCTCGTAGAGCTGATGGCTGCTAGGGCAGAGAAGTTCTCGAGTGGCGACCACGGGCCGGAAGACGTAGCGTGGTCAGGTCTACTAGGTGGACCGACGATCTGGTGAAGGTCTCTGGAAGAACCTGGATGCAGGACTGGTCGTTATGGAAATCCTTGGCCTTTGGCCAGCAGTGGACGTTATTTTTTGGCTGAAATGAACGAAGCAGAAGATTGGAGATTGGGTGGAATTTATAGCAACTTCTTTGGAACTCAGTGATCAACAGCCAATCACCATTTTAAAGTTTCGATCGTTTCAGCCAAATGACGTCCACTGCTGGACAAAGGTCTCCTCCAAGGTTTTCCGCAATAACGGTCGTGCACTGCGCGCATCCAGGCTCTTCCCGCGACCTTTACCAGATCGTCGGTCCACCTAGTAGGAGGCCTGCCCACGCTACTTTTAAGGTTTACGTCATTATCCTTATAATATTTTAATTTTATTCATCAGATCGCGGGCTCCCCAGCAGACTTAGACGGGCGCCTTCAACGCGGAGACTTCTTACTGTCAGTGGACGGTAAGGACCTCTCAGCAGCAGACTACATCACCGTTGCCACCACCCTCAAGCTGTGCGGAAACAAAACTGCCATCAAGGTGAAGAGGTTCAAAGTCATCGCTCGATAATAGGCTGGCGGTTATCGCTACTCGGCGATAGATGGCGCTATTCGCTATGTAAATGACGCTACTGAAGCAATGAAAACCCCTGTGGGTCTAGACAAAGTGCAAATTATAATCGCAAACCAGTCGAAAAGTGGTCGAAAAGCCCCTTTTTTGTATGGAGTTATGACGGATTCGATTTTCGATTCGATCAAAAAGTGCGTTTTGTCTAGGGGAGCTGATATAGTTAATTACGTAGCCGTACCC